GCTGAAACTGATTAAAAAAACCACTCAGCACCATTAGAATCCCTTAATGCGGAGTATTGTCCCTACAAACAGTATCCATCTTTCAGGCTGGTGGTTCTTCTTGTCTCTCACACCTTACTAATGGTATGGCCTACGCATCTCAGTATTGGACCAGTTGTCAGGCATGTTAAAAAGCTGGCCTGAACTAGCCACATTGGGAGCTGTACCCACAATGTTAACCAAACCCTACTGCACCAGTATCCTCAGCAACAGGGGCGGACTGACCATTTGGAAACTCGGGGCACTGCCCGAGGGCCCAGGTCAGTAGGGGCCCATGAGATTGCCCCCTGGTACCTTTTTCATAGGCTTTTTTGAGTTTTGGGCAAGGACACAGGGCCCCCCCATGATCCCCTGTTGGCTGGGGGCCCCATGAGCTTTGTCAGTCCGCCCCTGACCTCAAAATGAATTTTCCCTCTTATTAACAACAACATGCAGGCATAACTGACAGATCTTTTAAAAACACATACCTGACTTAAATGCCTTACGAAGAGCAATCATTATAAACTCGGTGCTTGCATAAAAAAGCTGTTTTGGAATTCTTGGTGAGAAGTAGATTTCCAGTAGATTTTTTGGATTCAAACACGATGAACAGAATAAAATTTTTTCATGGTGGACTCCATTTTCTATATCTTCTCCGATAGATAATTGTAGATAGACTGGGACCACTGGAACTGCTAGAAATGGCTCTTATATTCCAAGATGACACAACAGAGAGTATGACACACGGAGCACATGAAAAGTTACAGTGTGTAAAACTGGAGGAAACCTCTGTCTTTTATAGATTTCCAGTTCCAATAAAGTACTATGGATGGTTCAAGTCAATTCTGTTACATAATCAGACTTTTAAAGTGGTGCCAAAAAATCCTGTTTTGAGCACTGAGTGCTGTAAACATTTTCTCATTTTTATTCATTCTATAAACTCTAAGATGATCAAACGTTGAGGTCTGGAGCCAGTTCTGGGCATGCTGCCGACATTTGATAAAAACTCAATTTCATACTTGGGAAATTACACTGTGAAATGACACCAAGAGACACGGACACAAAATGGTTGTTGTTTTTAAAGAAATCTCATTATGAAACAAACATGATTTTGCTTTTCCTATGTTAATCTAGATGCCTGGTTGTCATGCTTACCATGTGGGGTTTGATAGTTTCAGCATCTGACCTGACAGAAACATACAGATACGGTCTTCTGGCTTTACTCCATATCTCCTGTTCTGCATCCCTACTGTCCAGGTTCAATTAGCCGGGGCTACTTTGAATCTTGTTTGAGGGGGGCGAATCTTGATACTGAATTCTGACCATTTTCAGGGTTAATAAACAAGCTATTGTCAAAAGGGACATTTAACAAAGCAAATTATTTGATTGCAACTTTAAAGATGATATGAAAGAAACAGCAACTCTTTAATAACTCGCCTACAGAGCACTTCTACCCCCCCCTTCCTGCCCAGGCCAATTTCCAGCTTTCAGCGCTGTCACACTTTGAAAGACAATTGCGCGGTCATGCAACACTGTACCCATATGAAATTTTTAGCATTTTTTTTGAGACAAATAAAGCTTTATTTTGGTGGTATCTAATCACCTCTGGGATTTTTATTTTTTCTTAAACCAAAACCACTGAAAATTTTGAAAAAAAACCCCGTTTTTTTCTTAGTTTTTGTTATACAATTTTGTAAATATGTGATTTTTCTCCTTCACTGATGTGCGCTAATGAGGCTGCAGTGATGGGCACTGATAGGCTGCACTGATGGACACTGATAGGTGGCACTGATGAGGAGGCACTGGTAGGTTGCACTGATGGGCATTGACAGGCATCACTGATGGGCACTGAAAGGCAGCACTGATACATGACACTGATATATGGCACTGATAGGCAGCACTGATAGGCGGCACTGATAGGCAGCACTGACTGGCACTGATAGGCGGCACTGACTGGCACTGTTAGGTGGCACTGACAGGCGACACTGACTGTCACTGATAGGTGGCACTGACTGGCACTGATGGGTGACATTGAAAGGCAGCTCAGATGGGCACTGATATGTGGCATTGATGTGGCACTGACACGTGGCACTGATGGGCACTGGCATGTGGCACTGATGAGCACTGACAGGTGGCACTTCTGGGGCAACACTGATCATCAGGGCACACTGATCATCAGTGCTCTGATGATCAGTTGTACATGTCCCCTCCGCTGGGAAAGCCGATTACCAGCTCTCCTCTCTCGAGCTGTCAGTGTGACAGCTCGAGAGGAGAGAAATGCCAATAACGGCATTTCCGTGTTTACATGTGATCAGCTGTGATTGGGACACAGCTGATCACATGACCGAGCCGACATCTTCGGCTCTTTCTGTGATCCGCTGTGTCCGAGGGACACAGCGCACCGGCGATCGTCGAGCTGAGGGGCGCGCTCCCTGAGCCATGCGTGTGCAGTGAGAATGGTAGGATATCATATGATGTCCTATCAGAATGAGAGAACCACCTTGCGCCCGTCATTGTACTATAGGGCGGGCGGAAGGTGGTTAAATTACATGCTTGTCAGATGCCCTTAAACTAATGGAGCATAATGATTTTCACAGACAGTGCCATCCAGAGCCAGGACAAAGGTTGGGCAACAGGGGCAGAAGTCCAGGGCACAATCATTTACTGGATGGGGGGGGCGCAAGGCTAGGTAGGTCTTGATTAAGCTGGAATTCTACTTCAAGAGAGGGGTTTATATAGCATAACCCACTGACCACACCTATGTTGGGGCTATTGACACCAGTGCTGGTGGCGTTTATTATAGAAACTGCAATTTATATTAATTTGTAAACTGGCACTGATGTGGGGGTTATTATTCTGGAAACTTCTGGGGGTTATTTTTGCACAAACGGGGCACCAATGTTGGGGGTTATTACTGCAGAAACTGGCACTGATGCTGGAGGTTATTACTGGTGCTACTGCCACCAGTGCTGTGGGTTAATATCGCATAAACTGGTTTTGACTCTTTTGCAATAAACAGGGGGGGGGGGGGCAGTTTGCCATTTTCACCTTGGGCAGCAATTGACCTTGTCCCAGCACTGGTGTCAGCTACACTGTATTCTGACTTCGCTGTGTTTGGATGTGTAATTTATTTTTTTAATCAAACAGATTCTTTTCAACTTGCAAGCAAAGTTTTTTTAGGTAGCTTTGGATGGGACACCTGCATTTTAATCAAGTAGTAGTAGGCCATAATTGACAGAATGTTTATTTTAAAAAAATAAAGATAATGCCTTTAACTTCATACAATAAAACAGTTTAATAAAAGGGAAGGACAGGGAAGATTTTATTTTAAAATAGAAATTAGAGTGCATTATTTTAGAGACAAAAGCCACAGACAGACAATGTACAGTAGCTGAACAGTATGTAAGCATTTTGGTTAGGTCACATTGTAAGAGGGACAGGCAAGGTAGGATTTATCTTGAAATAAACATTAGAGTGTATTATTATAACCACAAATATTGTGCAGTGACTAGATGATATGTAAACAGCTTGAAGCTGCTAACTGTGGAAGGTATTTATGTTTTTTGGTGGTAACAATTAATAATCTTTTTTTGTCAGTAGCACCAGCAGCAAAGGTTTTGTAGTCATTGGTAATCCAACACTGAATCATGAAAGTGAACTGATCAGTGAGAACAGATGGATTCACCTCTTTGTAACAAAACCTCCCGCTGTGTTGAAGGCCCTTTGAGACAGCACACTGGCTGCAGGGTAAAACCAGAAGCTCCAGCACATACTGTGCAATCTCTGGCCAGTGTTCCAGCCTGAAACCCAATAGTCCATGGGGTTCTGACTTCTTAGAGTGTATGCATCAACTCTAGTACTGATGTAGTCAGCAATCATGTCACTTGCTTGCCACTGTGGTTTAAAAAAACTCTGAAAAGCAGCTCAGAGACAGCCGCTGCTGCCCCTGTTTCTCCTTTCAAGGATCAGAGAATCAGAGGCACATTGTTCATCACAGTCTGTCACCATCACTTGGACCAGCCCTGATTATGTCAATGGCCTATACTTGTGGGGACAGTGCCTTCATAAAGAATAGAGTGGCTGCTCCCTCCAGCCCTCTGCAAGCTGCCCCTTCTTACTTAAATAATTAACACTTAACTGACAAAACAACCCTTTAGCCATTCACCATGCATTCCCAATGCTTGGAGATTAAGAGAAATGTTTAATTTGATGTTTTATATGTCTCTTTTTATATACATTCTTTGCTTTTAAAAATACATATTTACAGTGGGGCAAAAAAGTATTTTAGTCAGCCACCAATTGTGCAAGTTCTCCCACTTAAAAAGATGAGAGAGGCCTGTAATTGGCATCATAGGTAGACCTCAACTATGAGAGACAAAATGAGAAAACAAATCCAGACAATCACATTGGCTGATTTGGAAAGAATTTATTTGCAAGATTTCTGGCTCTCACAGACCTGTACCTTCTTCTCTTTAAGAGGCTCCTCTGTCCTGCACTCATTACCTGTATCAATGGCACCTGTTTGAAAACTTGTTATCAGTATAAAAGACACCTGTCCACAACCTCAAACAGTCACACTCCAAACTCCACTATGGTGAAGACCAAAGAGCTGTCGAAGGACACCAGAAACAAAATTGTAGACCTGCACCAGGCTGGGAAGACTGAATCTGCAATAGGCAAATCAACTGTGGGAGCAATAATTAGTAAAATGGAAGACCATACAAGACCATTGATAATCTCCCTCGATCTGGGGCTCCACGCAAGATCTCACCCCGTTGGGTCAAAATGATCACCAAGAACGGTGAGCAAAAATCCCAGGACCACACGGGGGGACCTAGTGAATGACCTGCAGAGAGCTGGGACCAACGTAACAAAGGCTACCATCAGTAACACACTACGCCGCCAGGGACTCAGATCCTGCAGTACCAGACGTGTCCCCTGCTTAAGCCAGTACATCATGTCCGGGCCCGTCTGAAGTTTGCTAGAGAGCATTTGGATGATCCAGAAGAGGATTGGGAGAATGTCATATGGTCAGATGAAACCAAAATAGAACTGTTTGGTAGAAACACAACTCGTCGTGTTTGGAGGAGAGAGAATGCGGAGTTGCATCCAAAGAACACCATACCTACTGTGAAGCATGGGGTTGGCAACATCATGCTTTGTGGCTGGGCTGTTTCTCCGCATAGGGACCAGGACGACTGATCCATGTACAGGACAGAATGAATGGGGCCATGTAAACCGTGAGATTTTGAGTGCAAACCTCTTTCCATCAGCAAGGGCATTGAAGATGAAACGTGGCTGGGTCTTCCAACATGACAATGATCCCAAACATACCGCTCCCCGGGGCAATGAAGGAGCGGCTTCGTAAGAAGCATTTCAAGGTCCTGGAGTGGCCTAGCCAGTCTCCCAGATCTCAAACTCCATAGAAAACCTTTGGAGGGAGTTGAAAGTCCGTAATGCCCAGCGACAGCCCCAAAACATCACTTCTCTAGAGGAGATCTGCATGGAGGATGGGCCAACAACCAGCAACAGTGTGTGCCAACCTTGTGAAGACTTACAGGAAACGTCTGACCTCTGTCATTGCCAACAAAGGATATATAACAAAGTATTGAGATGAACTTTTGATATTGACCAAATACTTTATTTTCCACCATAATTTGCAAATAAATTATTTCCAAATCAGCCAATGTTGATTGTCTGGATTTTTTTTCTCATTTTGTCTCTCATAGTTGAGGTCTACCTATGATGCCAATTACAGGCCTCTCTCATCTTTTTAAGTGGGAGAAACTTCCACAATTGGTGGCTGACTAATATACTTTTTTACCCCACTGTAATTCATGCCATAGGATTCGAGGCATAGAAAAGGTTAAATCGGAACTTTGCCCATAACTAGATATAAAAATAATGTTCTTTAGCATGGAAAATACATTCGGCATTAAGCCCCCGTTCACACTAGTGCAGCTTTGAAATTAAGCTACTTCAGCGTTATTTCAAAGCCGCACATCATGAGATTTTGCACTGCCGATTTCATTGTAGCTTGTGACTTCATATAACAGAAGACCATGCAAGTCGCAATGAAATCGGCAAAAAGTATGGCAGGAACCATTTTTCATAATCTCTGCGCCATGAGCTGCGGCGATATGAATGGTTCCATTGCCAGCAATGGGGGGTGCGTCATGTGATTCTGGAACTGTCAAATCGCATGAGAAGTTTGCACGGAGTGAAGCCAGGGAAAAAGGATAAGTTCACCTTTCGTAACATGCTACATGTTAAACCCATGTTCAGGGGTGTAACATGTTTTGAAAAGACTGATCCCCCATTGAGCCTTTGCAGATGTCAGCTTGTAGGCTCTCAATGAATTACCATGGTACTGTTGAGGCTTTAATAGTTATGCTACCAAAATTAGTGTGTGCTATAAATTGCCTTCATTATAGTTCCTGATTTTCTTCTTTCCAGAGGCTGCCATTTTGCTGAAGCCCAGAGCCCCTGAGCAATACTAAATCTTGAGGCTGTCGTCATTCGATTAGCCTCTACATTTTCGGCACAGTGCCAGAAAATGGAGAACAACTGAGCATGTGCGGAGCAGGATGAGACAAAGGGCCAGAATGAAGTGATCTAGCAGGACTTCATTTTCTGACTAAAGTTTCCACTTTAAGTTAGGAGACAGCACAGTAGTGAGTGCTCTTATCTCTTTGCATCTATCACCATGCTCCAAGGTTTCTTTGTAAAAAAAAAAAAAATGGAATTGGCTGGTCAAGTTGCTCACATGAATGGAACTGATTTGTTTGAGAATGGCAGATGTGTGCTCCCTAATTCTGAAATGAAACACATTGAAGGTTTTCTTTGCAAGCAACCTTTCTTAGAGCATCACATTTTCAGATCATGGCCAAGAAGGTCCTAAACTGTACTGTAAAAGGTAAACCTAGACTAGCTTGGCCAAAGAATGACCAAAGAACCATTGCAAACAATGATTCACTTTTGGATTTTAGATGAAAATGGTTTCATGGTTTAACCTCACTTTTAAAATTGTAATCAGAATCATCATTTTTGTTTTGCAGCACTAACTCAGAAAGTTAAAGAGCTGCAAAAATGTTTTAAACAGGACCAGATGATCCATAGTGTAGACATTTGTGGTAGATTGCCAAAACTCCCCCCGCTTTGATAAATCAGCAGAAACTGTTACACTGTGTTTTGGCTTGACTGCATTCTTATACAATTTTCCAGCATCTGTTTTAACAGGACAATGCATTTATAAAATAGCACAGATTTTCCTTTTTAAAATTTAATAAAACTGGAAGCCAGTCAAAAATTTTGAAATAAAGAGCCTGAAACCACTGTTTTTTTTTCATTCAAGTTGAGGATCCAGCAGGCAAAACATGAACATCTTTATCAGCTTTTAAACGCCTACATTTCCCTTCTTTTCCT